CTTTTATATTAAAAATTAATTTATTGGCTAATTTTATAAATGACTTTTAAAAATAGGGTATAAATAGTTGAGCTTCGGCAAAACTAAATTCAATCCAAGAAAAAGCAAAGGGTGTCAAAAATTCAAATTCAGGCAAATATTAGACACGAAACGAAATAAAATCTAATCACGATAATTGATAAATTCAATCATTAAAACTGTTACAATTATAAATTATTAATTATTATCTATAATTGATTGTGAAGTTTTGGTAAATAATAAGATTCACAACGACATAATACTTTATGTTTGACTTGGGAATTTCTGAAACTGGGAAAGTTTGGTTGATTGAATTATTTTTATAAAATTCTCTAAAGCTGGTAAATTAGGTTAGCTGAAACTTGCCAACCGTATATAACCCTTTCTTAAGGAATATTTAAATTAGTTATAAATCTAAAAATTTCTTGCTTTTAAATAAAAAAAAAAAAATCAAATTAATATATAGAGTCAAGATTGTGTATAAACCGGACAATAAGTTGACATTTTATGTAATGGTTCTCGTTCCAGCTTAAACTTGGCAAGAAGAAGAAAATTCAGATTTCGCTAAAGGAACTTTGATATATCCAAAAATAGAAACCATATACAAAAGTTGGCTAAAGTAATCTCTTCTAGAGCCACAAGCAAAAAAGCAAAGCGAAACATGTTTTGCGCGATACTTGATTGTTGTTGTTGTTATTGTATCCTTGTTGTTTGGTATTGGTGTTGGGTGTTGGATTGTTGGGTTGTTGTCGTCACAGTGCTTTTCGCTTATGGCATTTGGCGTTGGTGACGACGTCAACGCCGTCGCTGTCGTCAGACGCGGCTCATATGAATGCTCGACCGAGCGTGCGAATCGCGAACCGGAAATGGCAAGCCTCAGGCGAAAAGGGATATGTGGGGGTGTGCATGTGTGTGCATGTGTGTTCATGTGATTCTTGTCTATTTTTGCAATTTGTACAATGGCAGCCTTTTCAATTATTTGCAAAATAATCAAGTTAACTGTTACCGCAAGTAAATGGGGTAATCGCTGGAGGGGCAACGGGCGGGTGCATTGGAGACAGGCTTTACGTCAGTCGATTATGTTTGCATGTGGGTGGAGGCAGGTATCCTACCTGTCCTTACCCGTATGACGTTGTCTCTTTTAAATGTTCGTTGGGCCTTTGGGTATTTGGTTCAAGGACATCTTCAGCCACAAAACTTAATTTGCGGCCGGGTTGCGACTTGCTCTATGCTGAGGTGGCAACTTTGGCTGTTTCGGCACGGTGCACGTGGCAACACCTGCTGCCTACACACACACATACACACACACTGACATACAGACGTCGCTGTGTGCCGCTTCTCATGTCCTTGCGTGTTGTTGAAGTTTTCCTTTCTCTCTTTTTTTTTTTTTTTTGCAAATCTTTTGTTTATATTGTCTTGCAAGCATAGCCTCGGTATTTAGCTCTGTAGAGCGGGAGACAATGCTTGTTGTTCCTCTTGTTGCTGTTGTTGCTGTGAGTGGAAAGGTAATTAATTTCGCTTCAATCGCTGAGGTAATAAAATCAGTTTAAAAATAGTTTTGCGGCAGCTTTATCGCTGCTTGCTAAGCCAACTATATAAAGCTAACTCCGGCTCCCAGGTAAGGCGGATTTGGTTTAAAAGTTTAGTATTGGGGTCATGGGTCTTTACAATTAATGACAGATAGAATAAGAGGAAGAGAGATAAGGCAGGGTAGAGACTGTAGAAACTCTGTTTATTAGAGTAGAACAATAATTTTTATTAAAAAAGTTGAAAACTTTTAATTGAGCACATTCGTAATATGTTTTTTAATAGAATTTTATGTATGTCAAAATAATAAAGTGAATATAGAATAAAGCCATATTTTTACATATATTTATTGCATATACATTTACAAGTAAGTGATGATTTAAGGAAGTCATATTTTTATGTCATTAAATACTTATAAAAATAAATATTTATTTAAATTATTGTTGTCTGTAAAATAAAGTTCTTTAGGGTCACCATTCAGCCATTTAAAAGATAGTTAAATTAGCAACCATTTTTTCGTAATGTGGTTTCTTAAAATTCTTTTGGTTGATTTTGGTACAATCAACATTTTAGATATTAAAATTTGGTACACTACTTTATATAATATATTTCATTATCTATATTCATTGCCCAATTAATTTTCATGAATAATATGTCTCATTAAAGTTATTCATTAATGGCGCCTACTACCCTCACTAAACTCAAATCCTGCCCTGTGTTAAAATGCAAAACTTACGCACAATGCATTGAACTCAAAGCGCAAGACAACTTTTCGTTAAAAAAAGCTCTCGAGCAACAACAGCAAAGCTTCTCAGCTGCAACATGGAAATTATCTGTTAAACAACATTACAAAGCGTATGAGAGAGAGAGAGAGAGAGAGAGTGAAATAGTGAGACAGGGGGCAGACAACGAGCAAGGCTGAGTGTTTCTTCTGCACTGGCCGAACGAAATATTTACGAATGCCGAATATCCATGCGCACGAGCGCCAAAGCGAACGACGGGTTCCGAATCGAAGCGAGCCGAGCGCGACGTATGCAACAAATTTATACAAATTCTTTGTGCTTGCAAACTGCGAAAACATTCATAACGGTAAACTCCAGGCGTGTGGACGTGTGTGTTATTTTCGTTATTCTGCTCTTAGCGCTCTATCTCTGTCACGTCTTTTCGCTGCTTCTGTGTGTTTTGTGTATTATTTCAGTGAGTGTCGCGTCTCGTGTCCGCTCACAGCTCACTTCTTACTGCACTTAAACAAAATAAAAAAAAATAAAATAAAATAAATAAATAACAAATTAAACAAAGTATCTTGATCTATTTGCCGCGCTTTTAAATTTTTAATTTGTACTGGAATCAAAAAAGATTGTAAATTTTACAAATGCAATAAAAAATAAATTAAAAAACAAAAAATTAATTTAAAAAAATACAAAAATTTAAATTTACACCTTTTGCAATGTGACTATAATTTGTGTGTGGAACACGCCCATCCGCCCTAGTCGACCGACCAATTGTACTTTGCTGTGTTGCCATTCAAAAATATTAAAAACATACAATAAACAATAAAAAATCTCAAAAACTTTTCAATAAGTTTATCAATTAATTGCTGATCCTAGGAGTGTCAGCTTGCCTTAAAAAAGCCACAAACTGAAAATAATTGAGATATCTATCCAAAGTGGGTTTACAAATCGAATTCGGATTTGCGCAAGCGAAAAACAGCTGCCGCAAAGATCAAGAAATGGGAACTATTGGTAAGTGAAGACCGATCGACATTTACATACTTATCTATATATTTATAGATTTATATATTTCATAAAAAAAAAAAAAAATCTTAATATTTTATTATTAAATAAAAAATGCATTTATTGTGAATCATCTACAATAGCTTTTGGAAACAATTAAGCTTTAATTTTGTTTGTAGCCATTTGGGATTCAATAATACATAAATATATTATTAAATATTGTAGTTTTTTGTACTTTCAAATTTACATTTTATTATTTTCGTTATTATTATTATTTGTTATTATCAGTTTTGTGTAATTTTTCCCTAAATTTAAGTTTAAATTTGAAATTGATGTTTGGCGCATCATTTTTTAATTTCAAAACTCATCATAGACACGGGATGGAAAATGGCTGTGACTCTTTTTTTTATTTATTTATTTTTTTGTTAACGAATTTACAAAAGTTTATATAAAATATGTAATATTGATCAAACAGTATTCTATGAGGAATGTAGTCTCTTCTATACAAAAATTAAATAAAAAATGAAATGAAATACATTTTCCTTATTGTTGGTAAAATATCCAAATTTTTTAATTATAATTTTAAAATGATTTTAAGTTTTTTAAAGAAAAGATAGATAAAACTGAAATACGTTTTGCTAAAGTTTTAAATATGAAATGATTTGTAAAGATGAATAAATTAATCATTTTAACAATTTTCGTAATTAATTTAATGTTTTTATTTCAAAAGCCAAAATATTTTTTAAAGAATATATATTGCGTTGCGTACATTTATGTATGCATACATAAATATATATGTACATATATATACATTTATCTTTTGTAAACTAATCCACAATACAAATCTGCTTAGGGTATTGCATTCAATTAAAATTCCACTGGCCATCCGCGTCTCTTAATCCCCCTTTGGACATGATCCTTTTGCTACCTTTTTTGCCCCTTCTGATTTCTGCTGAGCTGAAATTCAATCTGTGCTATTCAATCCCGCCATAAAGCCGAATAATGTTTTATAAATAGATCCAATTGAAGCCGCTTCACAATATATTATGTAGAAAAACTGGAAGCAGAGATTCCCTTTTTTTCTGTGTTTGCCTTTGCCTTTGCTTTCAATTAATATGATATGAGGGCGTTGGCCAACAATGGGTGTTGCCATATCCTGTTGTGTGCTGCTCAGTTGTGCTTGCTTTTCAATTATCCTAGCTGTGAGCGCGCTAAAAATAAACTCAGCACGCACAACAACAACAACAGCAACAGCAACAACAACAACAGCAACAAGAGCAACAATTTTGCGCTTTTCCACATTGGCAGAGTGAAGAAAATGTCAAACGACGTCATTATGATAAACATGGTCTAGAGCCTCGGAGCACGTTAATACTGCTTATCCAAATATATGAAAGATAAATAAAACCAGTGAAAAGTGAAAAAAAGAACCGAAATATATAGTATATAATATATATAGTCAGTGCCCTAAGTTCTAATCGAATGACGCACGCGACGCCACTGATTTCTATGCTATAGTTAAAAATATATCCTATAGAGACGCTATGCATACACTTAACATATCTGTGTGTGTGTGTGTGTGTGTGGGTGGGCTTGATTGTGTCTGTCTTGTCCAACGTGTTATCCTTGAACGGCAGCAGCGTCCTTTCGACCACCTCAAAAGGCCATGTTTCAGATACAAATGCGCTCTGATTGCGGCGTGGGCGGCGGCAGGGGCGTGGTAGGCAGCCACTTGCCTCAATGGGTTCGTTGTGCCATTGCTCGACAGGCGGGAGGACTGGCTGTGTGTGTGTGTGTGTGTGTGGGTGTGTGTGTGTAGGCGGCAGCTACAAGTGCTCAATTTTTGTTTTCCTTTTTCATCTGAATGATGCTACTTTGTATGCCATTTGTTGTGCGTGTCTTTGCAGCTGTCTGTGTGTGTGCGTGTGTATATATTTGCTCCTATTAGACACGCTTGATATGCTGCTCGATGCTGCTGTTGCTGTTGCTGCGGCTGTTGTGGTTGCTGGTTTGCCTGCTCAGCAGCCTCGGCTCTCACAACAGAATTTCTTGTTGCCGTCAGCTAAAAGTTCAGAGTTGAATGTGACCATCGATTCTGCACCAAAAAGGACATTGTTTTAAACAAACACGGTGCAGCAGCATTTAAACAACATTTTGGCAGCATCAAATGTCAAAGCGCACAAAGGAAAATATCACGAAAACCCGGAGGTATGCTTTTCTTACCAAATTTGTTCAGCTAAATTGTCTCATTAAATTGTCTTTGAGATATATACTTAAAATTTTCAAAATTATAGCACTTAGTAAGATATAAGAACAGAAATTAATATTTTTAAAATTTTATTA